TTAAGACATGGTCTGATGACACAGGGGGGCCAAGTTTAACCCTACCTAGACCGGGCTTTTTTTGACATGGGGGGCCGGGGGGGTGGGCTCTTTTGACCCCCCTAAGAACTCGCGAACGGTAAGTCGTATGACCACCAAATTTTCAGAGAATGGTGTTATAGTGAAAATTTATCATATCTACAATTTTTATGTCGTTATGATGTAATATGACGTCATTATGACGTCATTAATGTGATTTTATTGGCCAAAACCGTCTAAATAGGTTTTTCCCTGAAAAACTAAATGGTATTCAACATAACTGTACCAAAAGTGTTTATGACAGAATATTATGATGTACTAATTCTTATGTTGCCCATAGCAACACCGGTGACGTCATACAATGACGTCATGCATATTTAAGATATCCGCCATCTTGGATCATCAATCTTGAATTTTCAAAAATAGTTTTTTTTCATGATAAAGCCTAAAATACATCGTAAACATACTAAAGACCTTCATTTAAACCTTTTTTGGAAAAAGAAATGGAAGTATTGATGAATTTTAATGAAAATAACCTGTATATACCTGTTCTAATGAAATAGTCCGCCATCTTGGATTTTGGCCAATGACGTCATCAAATTAGCATAAATTATGCATATTTAATGATAAAATTTACATAAAATTATATGGGATGTTATTAATATTAGAAACCATGAGTAACTTGACATAAAACCCATAAAATTCTATTGTTGAAACAAAAAGTACTAAATTTAGCAAAAAAAATGCCTGTCAGAAACCCGTTGCCATGGCAACACAAAAAATCATTATCTTATTCCAATGATAGAGAATTGTTGCCAACAATATTTTAGGAAAAGTCACCAAGTTTGGCCGTTCTACGGCTAGCCGTTCAGACGCTAGGTGACATCAAAGTTGCCGCGGGCACTTTTAGGCCCCCCCCCGGTCTATGTAGGGTTAAGGACTGTCTGTGTTAGCAGAAAGTTGTAGAGATTGAGTTTAATTCAAACATGACAAAAAGAAGTCACCATAAATTTTCGGTCGTTCTCGTCAACCTACGTCAGATGTGTGATCTACTTTTGACTCTACGGATGTCGGAAGCGTGATGACGTTAGGAATGAATCGGAAATAACGGGAGTCAGTGAGTGAATCACACATGTGAAGAAGGTTGACGAGATCGACCGGAGATAAATGGTAAGCTTTCTTTGTTGTGTTTGAAATCTGATTTAAGCTCAAACTCTACCACTATGTTTAGTTTTTTTAAAGAAAACTCCAAAATTCCAATTTTGTAACTTTTCTTTATCGTATTGAATATTGAAAGTAGAATCCAGACTGCAAATTTTTTTAAATTAATTACCAGCAGATCTTAGCATGAAGATTCCAACAGACTAATAACAAAAACAGTGCAATTTAGTCAAAACTTTGGCCCACGTAATTGTATTTTGAAACCCTAACGGTGGATCCATTGCCTATTGGGTTCTATTTAATCCTTCAGATCTAAAGAAGATCTAAAGGAGGCTAGGAGGACTTGTCACATGTACGACTAGCTCCTCGGTTGTTCCTTCGAAAACTTTTGATTCCGGATTTAGAAATCTCACATTTTGTTTTGTGGCTCAGGTGGAGTATTACAGAAATGAGTGCAAAAAACAGAAGGACAAGTCCATCATGCGCCATGACAGCCATTCCAGGATGATCTTCACAGAGGCCAGTGGGATAAAGTAAGGGATAATTTTGCTATATTTCATCTATATATATATATCTATGAAGTCTACAATGTGCGTTCTTACTACCTTTGAGTAGACAAATCTGTAGACAAGAGATTTGCACACATACATATAGTGAGTATTCTGAAACAAACAAAATGTGCTTCATTTTGTACAAAAGTTTTGATACAGCATTAACTATTCTGTCGTTAGATTAATAAATGAATGGTTTTCATTGTCCAAACAGTACCCGTGCAGTCGCAGCCTCTATACGGCTGAATTGATGCAGGGTATCACATAATAAGCAATACAATGGAATAAAAAGTTGTGTAAGATGAAAAAGATTTTAGCTTCTTGGGCACCACGTTATCTTAGTATTTTGGGAAAAATCATGGTTATCAAAAGTTTAGTTGCATCGCAACTGTCATATATGCTGGGTGCACTAACACCTCCAGATACATTTCTTGATAATGTTAATTCTTTGTTCTTTAGATTTCTTTGGAAAAAAGACAAAGTTAAACGTAAGGTTATGATTCAAGAATATTCAGCAGGAGGTGTAAAAATGATAGATATGAAAATTATTTATGAAACTTGTATGTTGAAATGGGTTAAGAAATTACTTAATTTGGATGCTCATGTTCCCACTTGGAAAAAGATGCAACTCAGCTATTTGGATGTTTTTGGACCCAAGTTAGCTATCTTTAAGTGTAACTGTAAGATGTCTGAGATACTTCCTGTAGGCTCTATACAGTCACTACCTGATTTTTATAAGAAAATGGTCTCTGTGTGGTTCAAGGTAAAGCCAGTAAAAGAAATAGAGCAGGTAAATGATATAGCATCACAACTATTGTGGAATAATGTGTGCATTATGTATAAAGGAAGAATATTGTACTACCGTAATTGGATCAACAAAATATCATGTATGTTAATGACGTTATTGATCGTTACGGCAATGTTATATCTTTCAATGATGTTGAGAGCATTGTGGGGAAGTACCCAAATTTAATCTTACAATATAATGCTCTGGTAAACGCCATTCCAACTAAATGGAGAGTGTCATATGATTTTGACGGAGTACATAAAATCAAGTTATTTGAAAAAGAGGTGAAAGTTCAAACTAATAGTTTCTTTAGAAATATACTAATCTTACAAAAAGCAGCAAAACCTATCTCTCAAGGTTTCTGGGAGTCACGCCTTCCACAATTTGATTTCCATATTAACACGTGGAAATCCATATGGGAAGCACCTTTTCGAATCACTAAAGAACCAAAATTGAGATCATTACAATGGAAGATTCTACACAATATTTATCCAACAAGAGTTAGTTTATGTAAACAAGGAATAGTAGCAAACAATAGATGTATTGTATGTGACTCTGTCGAATATATAGAACATTTCTTTTTTGATTGTGCACTTGTTAAACCTTTATGGGCAGAAGTTGAAAAGAGTTTTCTCTCCGAATATGGATATACATTGACGTTAACCACTCAAGATGTTATTCTTGGATATCACCTTCCTAATGTAAAGCAATTTTTATACATCAATGAACTAATATTGCTGGGAAAAAGCACAATTTCTAAGTTTAAGTATGGTACGAATTGTATGGACATTGTTACACAGTTTAATTTTGAACGTTTATTAAGGAATTTATTCTAAACATTGGGTTTAAAACTACAAGATAGATAGTGGAAATGTGTATTAATTAACTATTTCTTCATTCTTTGTACAACTATGAATACATTTTTGTTATATTAATGTTATTTATAAGACTAGACAGAATTGTATACGATGGCATACATGCCTCAGATCGCAAATGTTCCACGAACTGTTGAATAAAGCACAATTAAAACTGAAAAAAAAAAAAGAAGCAATACAAATCACAACAATAAAAAAATACACGACACACATATTTCCTCCATAGATTTTTTTGTGGAACTGTCGCAAGGGTCTGATAAGAGAATTAAACCGATGTACGCACGACTAAAATCTTAGGCACAGACGATTTTGGATGCCATCCACTACATCCGCCATCTTTCTTCATCTGCTAGAGATCAAGATGGTAGTCACATAACCAGAAAGTTTACGTTACTGGACGAACTAGACGAAAGTGTTTTACATGGTGTTTTTCAGGTATTTAGGGGAATCTGGTCATGGCTTGGAGCGCCAGCGATAATTAAGCATCATAGTTATCTTGATTTTTTTTTTCACATGTAACCTAATAAATTTTTTTGTAAGTTCTTAACTTGAGCTTCTTCGTGTTTCAGGTTCCACCAGGACACGAACCGGTCCGTACTGAAGCCCAGTAACTGGCACGCCTCGCACTCAGGGCCACACAAATCATCCACGCATGCGCACGGACATGCGCACTCCGCTCCTGCCCATGGCCACACGACTACAAACTCTCCTCCAACTCAACCTACGGACCCTGGCGCAGAGCCTTCTGGGAAGGGTAGTACCTCAGCGGCGGAATCAGACGACAAAAACAAATCACCGTCCGCAAAGAAGTCGGTTCGATTTTCGGAGCACAATGAAACATTTCACATAGACACCCCTCAGTCTTCTCCACAAGTCACTCCTAAGCATCCAGGAGAAGCAACTACTGGTGTCAAACCTTCGGTATCTGCTGGACAACCCAAACTGAGCCACAGTAACTCTTTCTCTAAACCAGCGGTCGCGAGTTCGAATCCGTACGGGAGACCAGCGACGGCGACTCAGAGCGGTCATTCCTCTGTAAGTCCGCCAGGGGGAGTTGGTGGATTGAACGGTATCGGTTCAGCGAAACCGGCTACACCTGGACCAGGAAATCCTTATGGAAAATCAGCATCAGCCGGCACCACGCCTCGAACAAAAATGTTTAGTAAACCGGCGTCGGCGAGTACTATACCTGTAAAAGGGACGAGTCGTCTAGCATCGAAATCACCAACAGTGACCTCTAGCGGTTACGGACAGAACCGACCGTCCACGGCTGCTTCAAATGGCGGAACGCCAAAACCTTCCAGCGCTAAAAACGTTTCTTCCATTCAAAACAGGAAAGGCAACGGGTGATGGAAATGGGACAGTACTAGATTCTTGCTTTTAATGTATTGAACTATTGAATTTCCACCGAATACGTGCAAGAAGGCGACATATAGGATAGTACGACGTACTGAGTATTGAACATTATATATATAATATCACCGTGCAAAATTCAAAAGTCTACTTTCTTTATAAGTATGATTAGGTAAACACAATAAAGGCACTTTTCTCTCTATTATAACAGTTTCTATCGCATTATTTACTTTTTTGACTTTACTCTTTTATAATATAGTTTCAAATCTTCAGATCGCCCCAAAAGTTTGTTTTAAAACTGTCTATATCAACTGTAGAATAATTCCCCCAACAGATATCAAAATGACTTACATTTCAATCACATCGTGTACATTATATATTGTTCACAATGTATTGGGGTTATGTCTACGCTCAAAGCTGCAGCTGACGTCTACATTCTTTTAGCAATCAGTTGTTTTTTTTTACATTCAAAATGATTTATACTCATAACTACAAGCTTCTTGGAATTACAACAGCACATATGTTGGGTTAATCATTTTTTAAACAAAACAGCAAAGAGATTAATTTCAGGGCGGCGCAACTGGATTGCCAAAGTCAATTCTTTAATTTAGTAAGTTGAATTATTATTAATAGCATACTGATATCTGTGAGGCAAAAATAGGATGCCATTAATGGAAATCGGTAGTAGTTTTATTGTTCCAGCTATTTATCGGCGTTCCCCAAATAAAGCATAATGCCGCTTGTTTTCGGGCTATTTTAAACGTTTCAAGTAGGAAATAAAATGTATAGAGAAATGGCAATAAATACCAGTATCAGATAGATTTTCTTTTTCTTTCGACGCCCTGAAATTGCATTGAATGCCTTAAAAACGACACGATTTTTATTACGTAAAACATTTTATTGTATTATCATAAAAGTTCATCTGTGTTGGTAGTAATCATAGTAAAAGGTTGAACTTTATTCCAACACACAATATGTACAGGGATCAAATTTTCAGCGACCACTGTCGCCTTCATCAGGATAATTAATGACCAATCACTTCACAACGTGATCTCGCGAGATATTGTGTGTTGGAATAAAGTTCAACCCTTTACTATACTAGTATTTTATTGTATTGTGTTACCATATTTTGCCAAACGTAACACATTGAATCAAAAGCAACTGTAACCTTCGGTTACATCTTTCTAGGGACCATGTCCTTGTCAAACTCGCCTGGGTCTATAAAACCGTTGCCATTTAAATCCATCGATGTGAACCAATCAGCAGGCAGGTTAGTGACGTCATACTCCAGCGCCTCCAGCAGGCCGATGGCCTCTTCTATGGTGAGCTTCTGGTCAACGTTGCTGTCATACTGCTCAAATCCGTAAGGGGGCAGGGTGATGGCCTGGCTGTTCCAGGTCGCTTCATCTATCAGAAGATCTCCTGGTCCTTCCTGAGCCCTTAAAAGGCATGCAAAATAAATAAAAAATTGGAGCCATTTGTGGTAACCTTAATGTACTTAGGCCACACCGACTTAATTATAATTTTATGGATGACATACGCGCGGGCATTAATTTTCGCCTGTTCTCAAAGATCACGTCCATCGAGGCTCTGGTCTGGCTCTAGGCCTGGCTCTAGGCCTGGGTAGTCCATGGTAGTTAGCAACAATACTGAGCCGGGCACCCAGGCTACCGATGTTCCACGATTCAAGAACTCACTACATACGTCTACATACGTACAGTGCCGATTCATAAATTCCGCAAAAAGCCAGCATGTGCCGGCTTGTCGTATACGTCGCTTAGTACTGCTACAAATTCACAATACCAGCTTTGTATTTCTGTGTTTTTTTATTTTTGGCCGGGATTTTTTTTTTATTCGCCCGCGCGCATTTGTTTTAAGGTCTTTAGAGGATGTCATCCATAAAATTAAGTCGGCTTGACCTTATCCTGAGAAAATAACATTATCATCTATTATACTCATGTATATTTTAACCTACAATACATCGTGTGTAACATATTTTCATACTGCCATTTCCATATTTGGAACTAAAACAATTTTGTGTATTATTCCTGTCGATATTATCAATTCACGCCAACAAATATTGTCTTGCACACTATCTATAAGGTCTTTTCGATGTAGGTAAAGTATAACAGAAAAAAACGTACAGTCGCAATTTGCAATTGGCTCTCATTGTAGATAAATGGTAAATTAAAACCAGCCAATTTTTGTTTTAACATGATCGTTTGGTGTCATCACTTTGTAATATTATAAATAGAGTTAGGTAAAAATGAAGAACAGGAGAAAATTATCACCTCTTTTTCCCCCTGCAGCCTCCATCACAGTTACAACAGAAGATGTTGCATTTTCCATGGCCACAGCATGGGGTTGACTAGGAGGAATATTGTGTTTAATGTTATACATGTATATCAACAACGTAAAATAAAGATATCAAAAGATACGTACACCACCAGTATATTTTGTATTAGACATTTAAAAAAGGATGTAATCATCATATGAAAATATGAAAAAAGACGCCTTGTTGAATTCGTGAAAAATTCCCTGTGGCATACATCACCAAAAAGTCCCTTCCTGGTAGCCATATGTGATCATTATCTGATCACATTCCTTCTTATCACAATTTGGCAATCACAATCTTTATAAATTGCGATATCATTTTATTAGCAAAACTAGAACGTCAACAAAACACACAGCAAAGGTCAGAAAGTGGATAAAAATAGATTTTTTTTCTCCTTTGCTACAATAGTATTTCGCATACTTATCTGTTGTACTACATGCAAATTGTATCATATTCTCCAACCAGTTAAGAATTTTAACATTATATTATTTTAGGAATTGTATTTTACATTTAGATTTCTTTATTTTTTAAGTTTGTGTAACGTCTGTATTTTGTGGGTCATCTACTACCAGTTTCGACTGCCTTGTTGACTCGTGTACTGATGTGTTGTCAGTCTACAATAAAGTAAAGTAAAAGTATTACTTGAGTATTTGCCATAAACATGCTAGGACTATGAGAGTAGAAGTGACGTGTATTCTGCTACCTTGATATAAAAAAGTGAGTTAAATCTCTATATCTTAAGATGCAGTTATTACTTAAATTTAGTGTTCTCCAAGATATTTCTGCATATTTAGAAAACGTGCCACAAAGGTGCTCTGTGTTACATTTTAATGTCCTTTGCCCGATATTTTAAGTGAAGTATGTATGTATGTATGTATGTGGCTTATAGCACCATAACTAAACTATCTGGATGCAGAACTTACCACAGTTCCGTCCCCGCAGTATTTAGTGCATCCCGCCTTGATGATAAACCAGTTGACGCTGCAAACCTTCCTTGTAGGGTCACAACACTCTGCAGCCGACTGGTCCAGAGTCAAGAGGAGAAGCCACAGCACTACCACTGGTCTGGGGTTCATGGTGACCTAAGGTATTGCAGACAGGTGGTGTCAAGAATTTTCATAACTGTCTTTAAAAGTTAGAAACTTTGAAACTTTATTATAATAACCATTAGCGGTGGACGCTAGTCTTCCTGGTATTCATTCATACAGACAATACATATATACATACATAGTTGACAAGTCGCAAAACACATCTAAATCAATGACATATTTACAATATACATAATTTAAAAAACAAATAATCCTGTCGAACAAGTGCTGCACTGGTGAGCTACTGATGAAAGTATTTGTGCAAACCGTCCTTAAACACTCTCAGGGATTGTGTGGATTGCATAACAATTAGAAGGTTATTCCACACACTAACAGCCCTGTACATGAAACACTTCATCAGTGCGTTAGTTCTAGGTTTGTCTAACAGAAAAGACTGTTTAGCAGCAAAACGGGTTCTATAGCTATGCAAGTTGTTGACCGATCGCAGTTGCCTACTGATACAAGTAGGTTCGTTAGTGAGTGTTATCCTTTAAATGTTGTCATGGTGTTTATTACCAATCTTGTGTGCACGGGTTTCCACAGAAAGCAGCTACTTACTATAGTAAGAACCCAATTTTTCTATAAATCAATTCAAAAACTAATAGTGAATTTTATCATAATCCATACTTATTTATAGCTTGTTTAGTTATGGTGCTAAGCCACATACATACTTTACTTAAAACATCGGGCAAAGGAAATTAAAATGTAACACAGAGCTCCCTTGGAACATTTTGCAGAAATATGCAGAAATATCTTGATGAAGACTAAATTTAAGCAATGATACTGAAATTTAAGCAGGTATACACTCAGATAGAGGTACAGATGTGCATGTAAAAAGGTCATCATAAAATGGAATTAAAGAGATAATAATGTTCTTATCACGCGTGTGCATTTTAAAGAAAAAATTTCGCGATTTTCCTAGAATATTATTTTGATAATTTGTCATATGGAACAGAACACAATTTTCAGTATCAGCGCTAAGCAGATGGCAGTGTTGGTTGCCATTTGAAACAGTGATTGTCATATTGAAGAACAGCAAACTTTAAGTGTATTAGAACGCACTGTTAACAATACATGATTGTATAATATATCGTGGCGTAGAGGATTATGTTTCATCCGAGTTCGAATCCGATTTTGTATCTTTTTCACTAATATTAATCTAATATCGGTTCTATTTTTTCAAATATTTTACCCGTAAAAAAAGGAATGATATACTCGGATATGGTATCAACCATTCAGTGATATGGTGTCGACCCTAGGCATCGACGTCGACTGTTTACAAGGCGGAAAGGCAAAGTGCGTTGACCTATAAAACAGTGCCGTCTGTTGTACCCATTTTAACCTCCTGTCCGCACGTGGTTTGCATGGCAATATCGATATCGTACATGTACTAATATGCGTTGAAATGTCTCATTTAACGTTATGTGGTGTACTTTCAAACTCTTTCTACACACGGTGGCATCTGTCTAAAGGCAGAAGTGATGCAGGAAAAGGAAATGTTTTTCAAAGGAACTTTAGAGGGATAATTTTCTATCGAAATTATCAGCAACAGACACCTAATGTCACGCTATAAGATACATACCCTTTGGCAATACGTAATACTAAGTGTCACTTTTAAACACAAACCATTGCACCGTGTATCCCTTCATATAGCTAAACGTACTGAGAACAGCTGTTTACCTTAATATTGTAGTCACTCCCCACGAATGTGCACCTCGGGTATGATGATCAGCTTCTTGCATGCGCTGCATGCTAATGAACCCAGACCCTAAAATAGCCCCCAAAATTGCCCTGTAGTTAACAGCAACAAGCCGTATGTCATAGCAGTGCCAGTGGACGATGTCGTTTGGTACAAGACGTCGACTAGGAGTGAATATATTAAAACCTCAAAAGTGGTCGGTTATTGTATCGTAATGTAGTTTATTTTGTATAATTTATTTGAAGAATACAACAAAATTAAAAGATATAAATGAAATTTTAACCGAAAAAGAATTTTTGACACCCTCAATAAAAGTGGTACTGTTCCAATGTCACGTGGTCACGCCAGATGATTGCCTAGATGATCTTTTTTTCTGTCCATGCCATCTTCCTTTACGAAGTATAGAGTGTGAGAGTTTTTTTCGGCAATTGAGGAATTTGTTCGGCAATTGAGAAATCTGTGTGAAAAAAAAAAAAACCCGAGTCAGCTGGATAGGCTATATGATAATAACGTTAATGCCCCGCCTTATCCTCGGTGTATATGGTGAGATAATCCCTGGTAAGGTGCGATAACCACCGAATAAACTAAAAGGTGAGCGCAGCTGACCAGGGATTATCTCACTATATACACCTCGGGGCGGGGCATTAACGCTTTATAGACAGGCAAGCGGGGAACGTTGGTCAGGTCAGTGAAAGTGACCTTAAGCCCTGCCACGGATACCTCTTGGGACGTCCCTGGTATCAGGTAACAAAAGTACCGCAATACCCGTGCTCGCGGACTAATACAAAATACCGTCCGCTCGGCAACACGCATTAAAATACGAAAATCCCAACGTTTGGGGGGAAAATAAAAAAAAAAAATTATTTCATAATCTATAACGATCACCGAGCAATAGAGAGCAAAACATGCCGTGACAACGTTAACCATGCAGTTCTGGCTATTTGGAAGCCTAGTCTGGTCAGATTCAAACTCCGACCCGGAACCTAAAGATGACGCATTTTTTGTCTTTTTGTGGTATATACGACTTCTAACTTACAGGTGCCGCGGTATACAGTCTCAAACATTCACGACAGACTTTTCTACTGAGAATTCAGACCATTAGTTTTTTCTAGGGGGGGGGGGGGGGGGTTTAAACAATATAACTCATGGAAACGCAGATGGTTGTTAATGTAGTTGGTGCAAGTGGTTGTTGAAGCAAGTAATATATTATTAATGTTTGGCCTCCTAGCAGCTTATTTTCAACTGTTGTGGGCTTTTTTTATTTTAGCGTCTGAAGGGAATTACTCAAAGATTGATTGATGAATTTGCGTTTAAAATGGTTTTTTATTGTCCAAACAGTACCCGTGCAGTCACAGCCTTTTTAACGGCTGAATTGATGCAGGGTATCACATAATAATCAATACAAATCACAACAAACAAGTAATACACATGATAACACACATATTTGCTCCACAATTTTTTTGGAACTGTCGCAAGGGTCTGTGCGGCTGCAATCGGCGCCACAAGGTGACCTCAATACGACTTTCCCCAACCGAAGTTAGGTACCCATTCACACCTGGGTGGAGTGAGGAAAGTCGTGTAAAGTGCCTTTCCCAGGGGCACAACGTCGGGGCGCATGTTCAGACATGTCCCAGGTATGACTCGGGTTTGAACCCGGGTCTCCCGGTTCACAGTTGAATGATGTACCGATGTACAGTTGAATGATGAGCGTTGTCGAAGAAGTTTACAAACACACACAGACACAAACACACACACACACACACAGACAGAAATACACACACACAGAAATACAAAAAAGGCCACCAAAAACATAATCTTCTTGACGGATACGATTATGCTATTCAGATCCACAATTGCAAAAATTAAAGTCTTTTATTATATTCCCAAACAAATGACAATCTTATCTTAAAAACACCAAACAGCATTTCATTATGGATAGAACAACTAGATGTTCACCACCTCATACATTTACTAAATACCGTTAACCTTTATTACTGACGTTTTATAGATTCTTCCCCCTGATCATGCGAATAGGATCCTCATTTGCATGACTTATATCGGTTGATCATATTGCCCACCAAAAGAAAGTATTTCCTTAGCAAAGAATGAAAACACTAGCAAAACTTTCAAATACCCCAAGTATGAAATTCGTACACTTAAACTTTAAATGCCACGGAGCCATCTCAACGTATTGTAATCACAATCTGACAAACGGTATATACACATTCACCAAACACACACACACGTAAAAAAATACCCTTTTCCTGAACATTAGTTTAAACCAAGTAAATCTAATAAGCCTTACTTATAGGTTCTAACTATATTCATGTTTCCCATAGTTTCAATAAATGGTCCTCTTGCTGTAAGAAAGTGTACTCCTCTTGTTAAAATAATATTATAGAAAGAAAGTTTATTGCAACTACTTGCCCGAGGGCTAATTGCAGTTACAAACAACATAAGAAAGAAAAATAGGTAATGAAATAGGTAATGAAAAGCCAAATCCGTCTCATCTTGATATATCGTAATACATATACCGAACATTTACCTAATTCCACTTCTACAATGTATTGGTTTTTGAATTGGTTTCGTCTTATCGTCATAGTGACTACAAATGTCCCACCTACAGTCTGTTGTTCTAACACCCATCCTTGTAACATTGACCGCCTTCTTCAGTGGGCTCCACATCCTCGGGCAGTCCGGTCGGCTGGACGTCCTCAGGCACGGCGAAGGAGACGAGACCACAGGGCCCGTTCATGTTCCTACAGAACAGGTCCCTAACGGTGGTCGTCTTCACCAAGTTGAACCCCACCTCCCCTCCGAATGTGCTGGGTTTCCACCATCCTGGTGAGCAGATGGGATTGGCCAGCATACCTACACCGAAGAAAGAGAAACACTTATAAATGTGATCACTAACAAGGCACATATAACATTACCTAAAACAATCTCAGATACTTTTACTCTACTCATCTCCTGTTCCGAGAAAACTTCCCTGTATATAGGCCAGTATATATCCAAAGCTTTAGATAAAAGAAATCATATTATATCCGATTCAACCAACTGATGTACACTCTAGTTTGTACAGTCATATATAGAACTCAAGATATGTACATTATCATGTAAGCCATGCTCCATATACATACATATACTATATTACCTTTTTGAAATAGTATGTTATTTTCGATACATAGAACTTGTAGTCACTGTAGACGTGAGAGTAGATGTTAGCTAGATATGTAGTACGGAAGAGTTTGCCATGCTTTGTACCCGTTACAATTGTTGTGCAATAAAGATTGACTTGACTTGACTTGACCTTTGAAGGAGAAGGGACTGCCCATCTCAAGAAACATCTGACTGAGAACGTTGCCAGACACCGGCTTCTCAATCAACCATCCCACATACATCTCCACTGCATCTATGTCTCCGTACGCCTCCTCCAACTGGGCGGCAAGTTCTTCATCACCTAAAGGAAGCAGAATACAGAAATACAATCAACTTTAAGATGCCCTGAGGTATTCCGGCGTCCTATGCAGCTGATCATTCATTCGATGTTTACAAGAACTGGATCAGTCGATGTAGCTTTTCTATAAACACACTGAATTCTTTTCTGGGTTAATCTCGAAAAACTGTTACTCAAGAAGAAACTTGATGGGTTTTGAAAACTGGCAGATGTTTCAAGTACCATCCACTACTTTAATAGTGAATGGTATAGCTAGCTTTAATAATTTTCTAGCTTACAAGTTGATGTTTCATGCATCAAAACGCTTTGAGATGAGAATACAGGGCATTAATGGTAATTTTGTTTTAATAGATTTGTTTTGCTTCAAATTATCGGTACTGGGGAAATGCCTGGGGTATGTTCGAATACCAGAAGCATCTAGTTCTAGCTATTTCTCATTTCAAATTAAACTTTATAAGAAAAAAAAAAAAGAAGAAAAAAATGTGTTTTACACCAACCTGTAAGTTCCTGGAATGTCTTGTACGGCGGCGTGTCGAACCGCTTCCGGTACTCGTTCAGAGACTGTAGCCTCAGTTCCCGCCCCTTTTTGATGGTTTCCACGGCAACCTGAAGATTGACAGCTCCGATGTTCTTTGGTCCAAACTATGGGCATATAAACAGACATCTTAACCTCACGATAGTTTCTGCCGTATCGATTTTTTTCAGAGTTTTATAGTTTAAAATACACTGCAAATGTGTGTTTTCATGGTCAAAAGACCACTGGTAAATGACTTTCGACATTTGTTCTGACCATGCCAATTCCAATTTGTTAATATAGCAAAACCTATTACTTTGTTGCTCTTTTAATGTTGCATTCTCCAATCAAAAGGAAGACGTGTGTGCAGTTGTTTCTTAGCTGAATCGATTATTCTCCTTTAAGAAACTGTATTATCATACGCTCTTGAAATCGATCGGACGCTTTTTCAGAAAATCCTTCGTCTGCAAGACTTATAGTTCAATGAAAGCTCATCTTTGTTGGTAGAATCCATAGTAACACATTTAGGCCTTAATTCCAGCACGGAAAGACTCACCACGAACGCGTCAACCTTCAGCATAAGTATGACTCGCTGACTTTCTGGAATACGGAAGCGGGATAACGTCAGGAGTGAATAAAATGTCGCAAGAACGCGGAATTTCCTACCGACGTTACCACGCTTGCGACTTTTAAAGAGTCAGTGGGGGGATCTTATATTTGTTTTAGGTTGACGTTTTGGACCGGTAATTCATGGTGAGTCTTTCTTTTCGTTTCGTTTCGGAATGTTTAAATTTTGTAAATAATTATCTTTATATGTTTGTTTTTATGCCAGTTCTGTGTACATTTAAGCCTGTCTTTTTAAACGCGAATGTAAACTGTTTTATAATGTGTTCTACGTACCTGAAATAAAGGATAAGTGAAATAAAGTCCCACTCTACGCTTGAAAAAGTCTTTTTTTTACATTTTGCAGTAAGACTTTACAGTGACAGTGATAATGGTTGATATTGAAAACCCATATCTGCTATTTCCTGTTGTAGATTGAATGATGTTTGTACATATTTGTATATAGCGTGTTTCTGTGAGCTTGTCTTGCTTTATTTTTTAACCAATTGTAAACATCGAATATACAATTCAGGGGTGCATCAGCATTTCCTGCTTTTGTATGATTTTGTTTGAATAAATTGAATTTGAACTAGAGAAGTAACATTTGCAAAGCAAATGCATAATGTTTACCTTCGGACATGGTCTGCCCTGGTAATTTTTACTCAAGCATATTCACATACATGTACTACTAGTATACGGTGACAGGAGCAGAGCAGACCATGAAGTTTGCAACATTATGTAACCCAACACCAGTCACCATGGTGACAGACGTCAACAAATCATGTCATTGGCCAGGTCAGAGGTTAGTGCTTGGAGAAGAAGAAGAGGAAGAGGAAATTGAGTAAAAACAATATGTTTTTCTTCGGTAAACATAAAAACCTGTAAATTGGAATTGAAATTGAAACTTACCTGCCCTGCTATCTGCCTGGACATGGCGTCCACTGTGACGTTAAGCCCGTGTTTGAAGACCAAGTCGTTGTTGTACAGATATTCCTCCATGTCATACGTGGTGCCGTTGATGTGGAACTGGTCAGGCATCAGCGGGTGCCAGTGGTACAGGTGGTTAAACTCCACAGTTATCCGGTTCTGGTACTGGAACTTCTCCTCAAACATGAGTTCCGGGTCCCAAAACAGCTGGAAGTTGGAGCCACTCAGGTGCTGCACGTATTCTTCAATGATGATTTTGACGGTTTCACCTATGGAGATCAGAGGTCAAGGCTTAGGATATTGGTCCAGTAATAACTGTTGTCTTTTACACTGACGAGATTATATTAGTTGACATTTTTCTTTAACTTTCTATGTTTTCAAAATGCCTTTAATCTGAAATTCAAACCTAATCACACGGCAATTCAAATCTAATAACACGTGTGATTAGGTTTGAATTTCAGGTTAAAGGCATTTTGAAAACACAGAAATTTAAAACATGTCATCTTATATAATCTCGTCAGTATAATAGTTGTCGAATTTGACCGCCTTTTGGAGTAAATGGAGGTCCTCAAACACGGGACCTCCATTTAACGTTCTATTCGAGGAATGTCCCTAACAAAAGCTAGGTACTCATATACACCTGAGTGAAGTGATGAAAGTCGTGTAAAGTGCCTTTCCCAATGACACATGATCAGTGACATGGGTAGGATTCGAACCCGGGACTTTTGCTGCTGAGCCGAACACGCTACCGCTACGTACGCCACACTAAATTACCACATATTGGTTAGCAATAAGCATTTTTTCAAACTTTAAACGTTTTCCTAATATTAACCATAGTAGCCGATTCATTCTCTGCTTCACAGCCCAACTGGGAGCTACAGCCGGTAATTTTGACCTACGCATTATTGTGCAACTAGTTTTTCGCCTTCGTTAGTTATTCTTATCAGAGGATGGAACTTAATATAGTGGGGTCGTGTGGCGTAGTGGCAGAGTGCGCGACTCGGAACTTAGAGTCCCGGGTTCGAGTCCTGACTTGCCACCGATCTTGTGCCCTTGGGAAAGGCACTTTACACGACTTTCCTCACTTCGCTCAGGTGAAAATGAGTATTGTCCTGTCATGTATTTGTCCCCTGTGTTGGTGGCGGCATTAATATAAGTTGAAAAAACTTGAGTGTGCCGTCACCACGTCTGGTGATTACATGCTGGAATAAAAAAAAAAAACTTAATATACTCGATAAATTATGATAAGCTCAGCGGATTCTTGTACATACAACTATTTTTAAGAATGAAAGAAGCTAAAAATATGCATATTTGAAATCTTATTACTGTTACTGTACATCATAATCTGTACTAAGCTTGTGGAGGCATCGATGGAAAATAAAGGTTTTGCATTTTTTTCATTAGGCATATAGGCCACACTGACTTAATCTTATTGATGACATCCGCGCGCGCATTGATTTTCGCCTGTCCTAAAAAAATCACGTCCACCGAGGCTCTGGCCTGGCTCTAGGCCTGGGTAGTCCATGGTAGTTAGCATAAATACGGAGTCGGCGGTAACTCTGGAGGACGGCACCCGAAGCTCCAGATCTCAGTACATACGTACAGTGCCGATTCAAAACTTCGCAAAAAGGCAACATGTGCCGGCCTTTCGTATACGTCGTATTAGTTGCATTTTTATTTTTCGTCGGAATTTTTTTTTATTCGCCCGCGCGCACTAGTTTTGGGGTCTTCAGAGGATGTCATCCAATTAAATTAAGTCGGTGTGGCTTTACCGATTAGAATGAGCCTGGCGGTTTGGAAGAGTCGTTCGTCGTCCCAGTCCGGGTGCAGCTCCTTCATGACGTCACAGACCCGGTTATGCTCCCTCAGCCAGACCTATCGGAACAAAATTAACATTACTAGGCGACGAAGTTTAAATAAAAAAAATACCCATATTTGATTATTTCTCACCTCCCTTTGCATTAAAAGTAGACATGGTCCGTATGGGGTCAAAATTCAAGGTCAGATACCGAGGTCAAAGCTGCCACACTGCAACGGTTATCATGCATAATGGTTAACTAGAGAACCCAACCTTAAAAAAAAAAAAACTAACTAAAGTCATCCTTTGTCTCTCTGTTTGGTAACAAATTTATTTATTTTATTCATTTATTAGACTTTCCAATGCAACAGCAAGTAGCATGGAGGAGAGACAATAAACAGGTGCACAGTTGTCACTCCATATACAAAACAAAATACATACTAAAACAGTAATGATACAAAAATAGACAATTCAACTGAAAACATACTATAACATATTAAGATATATAACAATATAGTGACAACTATATGGCAGTTATCGCGGCCTTGTGGCCATACAGGTCGTACATCTGCAAAAAGATATCCAGCTACATGCAGCATCGGTGTCATAGACCGCATTAACCCTACCTAGACCGGGCTTTTTTTGACATGGGGGGACCGGGGGGGGGGCGTCTTTTGTACCCCCCCCTAAGAACTCGCGAACGGTATGTCGTATGACCACCAAATTTTCAGAGAATGGTGTACTAGTACAAATTTATCATATCTTCAATTTTTATGTCGTTATGACGTAATATGACGTCATTATGACGTCATTAATGTGATTTTATTGGCCAAAACCGTCTAAATAGGTTTTTCCCTGAAAACTACATGGTATTCAACATAACTGTACCAAAAGTGTTTATGACAGAATATTAGGGTGTACTAAGTCTTATGTTGCCCATAGCAACACCGGTGACGTCATAAAATGACGTCATGCATATTTAAGATATCCGCCATCTTGGATCATCAATCTTGAATTTTCAAAAATAGTTTTCTTCGTGATAAAGCCAAAAATACATTGTAAACATACTAAAGACCTTCATTTAAACCTTTTTTGGAAAAAGAAATGGAAGTATTGATGAAATTTTAATGAAAATAACCTGTATATACCTGTTCTAATCGCCATCTTGGATTTTGGCCAATGACGTCATCAAATTAGCATAAAGTATGCATATTTAACGATAAAATTTACATAAAATTATATGGGATGTCATTAATATTAGAAACCATGAGTAACTTGACATAAAACCCATAAAATTCTATTGTTGAAACAAAAAGTACTAAATTTAGCAAAAAATGCCTGTCAAAAACCCGTTGCCATGGAAACACAAAATATTATTATCTTATTCCAATGATAGAGAATTGTTGCCAACAATATTCTAGGAAAAGTCACTAAGTTTGGCTGTTCTACGGCTAGCCGTTCAGACGCTAGGTGACATCAAAGTTGCCGCGGGCACTTTTAGCCCCCCCCCCCCCCCGGTCTAGGTAGGGTTAAACATGTTATGTAAATGTATCATCAACTGTCTTTTGAAGGTATTCAAGTGTTGTGACAGAGAGACATTTAAACACAATGTCGTCATTTTTGGGGACCTGGCCCATGGACTAACCGTTGCCCACACGAACAGTCCCGGCAGCATGCCGAAGAACTCGTGCCCCAAGGCGAAGCGCTTCTCCTCGGGAACGTCGGGGTGGTAGTTCATGTGTACCGGGACGTCCTGCAGACTGGGCGGGTACATCTGTCCATCCACCCACTGGTGCTTCAGCTTCCCGTCCTGCATGGTGCGGAGCTGACGTTGTCTCTCCGCGGTGTGCCCGTAAACATGACTCATGTCAACCTGAGCCAGAAAATTAGGGAGGGATGGCATCCAGTAAAATTCATGTGGTGACTGATTTTTTTAAAATTATTTATCTAGGCCCATGCAACAACAATCGGAAGAGCGGGAGGAATGTATATTCTAACTGCACTCATGGCCGATTAATTGGATATTCACCGGACAGGATTTTTACAAAACCGGTTATAAAAAGTCTGGTATGAACGCTAAGGGTTTTAGCCGGGTTTTCCTCCGCTAATTTAGCGGTTTTAACCGGTTTTTAAAAGTCTGGTATGAACGGGATCATTGTTTCACTTTTAATGTAGACAATTTACATTGAACTTCTGTCACGCAAATAAAGAAGTCTTTTACACACATTTTCTGTCCAGCACTGACTGCTAAAACCGACAAAAATGCGTTTTTGACAACGTTTAAAAACGTTTTGAATACCACCACCACTTGGGTATATTTTTTATTGTTATTAACCTTCATATGATCATGATAACACAAAAAGACGTTGCGCCCTCATTTCTTCCTAAGTTTTAAAACTAGAACTAGTGGTGGCATGTATAATATTACATTAAAAAAGTGTAAGGATGATTTTAACTCCATGCTACTAGTTAACGCTAAGGCCACATCAACTAAATTTGATGGATGACATCCTCCGCAGACTCCAAATCTAATGCGATAGGGCGGAAAAAACAAGGCGGGCTAAAAAAAACAAGGTTCCTACAATTTAAAATTTGACTCAATAATCATTGTACAAATGGTTTCAGTGGGAACATCACATATACACAGTCAGCATCACATATCACTGCATCAAAGTAAGATGGCAACAGACATATTTGCCCATTTTCGGCATATTGACCACTGTCAGAACGCAACAATTTTTTTTCCAAAATCGAGCGAAAATTAATGCGCGGGCTGATGTCATCCATAAATATTACTTGCTGTGGCCTAATGACAGAGATACTATACAGTCGGCCTACCGCATGGTCACTCCATGTTCGGCCTGCTCCCTTTTCGAAGTCCGTCTTGAAGAACTGATGAGTGAAGTGCTGCGCCGCGAAGCCGAGAAGAACACTGGTGCGTCTTCTCAAGTCGGGGATGAACTTTCTACGCGCCAAGAACGTCTGAGCGAGATACTCGGGGGAGGGGAGCTCCTTGCGGCCCTTAGTGCCCATAGGGGTGGGACAGTCGGTGGGTACAGGGGGCAGCACGCGGGCATAGTAGGTCCGGTCCGAGTAGGTGTCCCAAGTCGTGTAGTCATGACCAGTGTGGTACAGAGGGGGGCTGTCTACCTTACCTGTAACGGCTGAGGATATTTAAAGGGAAAGTCATTAAAAATAGGTTAGCAAAGGACATATCCTAAGTCATGAAGCAAATGACATATCCTAAGAAATCACGTTGATATGAAGGTGGTCGGTTGCTAGGGTAATCTTCCCCGTTGCTAGGCGCGTTCGAAAAGGTATCAGTAAGACCCAATTTTTGGGGCTAACTGTGAAATAAATAGTATAAGAGGAGATATCTCGTCACAATAGAATGTCATTGTCAAGGTGCATAACCATACGTATTACATAACATAAATGTTAGCCTTTTCGTTAAAAAAAGCCTGATTTGTTTTATAAGTACGCTCCGAAAGACGATTATTTTGGAAGTTTCGGGGCGCAATGTTTTAGGCAAACACTGTTCTATTGCAGGAGAAGACATTGATATTTTAATTAGGGCCTAGATATGACCACCGTGGTTTTGGTCCGCGGAGCGGTAAGTTCATCTTTTAAACAGTTCTCTAGATTTTTTTTATCTTGATCCAAAATTTTGACCTTGGACCTTGACCCACAGTTTACAAGAAGTAGAAATTGCTTTAGAAATACAGCTACAAAACAGCGTTTCGCCTGTACTACCAGATGATGTATTTTGTATAAAATTCTTTTGACATTAAACAATCGAACTGCAGTTTAAAATAAAGTATTTTTACATCTACTTACTTATTCAACATAATTTTGTATGTTTTATTTATTCTCATTATTGCTAAAAGTAATTATTGTTACTTATATGTTATTATTATTTGTTATTTTTATATTTTTATATTGTGAACTCCAGGAAGAATAGTCTGGAATTTTTAATCAATGACAAACTAATAGAGATCGAAATAAACAAAGAACAAACAAACTAAACTTACCTATGTATAAGCCTCTCATCAGTACGTTGCGAATAGGGATGTTATTGATGACGTCCCAGAACCACTTGAAATTCGAACGGAGGAATGTAATCGTCTCCGGACTCGGCTTGAGAGCGGCCGTCACACTGGTCCAGAACTCCGCTAGTATTCAAATGAGAAAAATGAAAATAGTAATAATAATAATCTTTATTGTACATTTATGCCCTATCGGGCTAAGTACAGGTGAACAGATGAAATGGGTAATATACATGTTTGTAGTACAAACAGCTCTAAAACTACTCTAATACAGAAGTTCGGCTTCTTCTCGTTTCTTTGTGATGTTAAAAATATAATTTGAAATGGGTTTGTTTAATACAGGATGATCAAAGCGCGTAAGAAAGATAAATTTTTCAACATTAGTCAAGTATTGGAAGTATGGAAACGTACTAAAACATTTAAAATGATAATTTACCTGCACTAACCTGCATATACCCAGTACATGGACCAGTGCAGGTTAGGTGCAGGTAGACATCAGAAATACCTGCACAGCTCCAATTTTACCTGCACTAACCTGCATATACCCAGTACATGGACCAGTGCAGGTTAGGTGCAGGTAGACATCAGAAATACCTGCACAGCTCCGATTTTACCTGCACTAACCTGCATATACCCGGCACATGGACCAGTGCAGGTAGCCAGCAGAAATACATACACAGTTCCGATTTTACCTACACTACGGATCATATACACAGAGCATTCCGAACCCTGCATATATATACACACAATATATAATTATATACATATGAACACAGCAGGACGATATGTGTTTCAGTATAAATTATCAGAGTGTACCCACGTGTTTCGCAGTTCTGTCCGTAGTAGCCTGTCCGGGTACAGTCGCACGTGTACCCGCCGCCCTCCCTCATACACACGCCACGGTTCTCACACGGGAACGAGCAGCACGGGTTTTCTGCAAAGATTTTGAGACAATCCAGTCATCATATAAATCCCATTTGAGTTTCCAAGGACTTTTCAGTTTAAAAAAAAAGTTAAAAGTTCAATCAACCCTATAGCTACTTTATTTAAATATGTTGTTGTTGTTGTTGGCAAACTTCTGTCTCGAGAGACAATGGAGACCATGTCAGTTCCTACACCTGAGTAAGGAGGGTTGACGCAGTGGCCTTCGCTTGGAGTTGTTTAAGGTGGATAACAGGTTGCGAATCTGAGACACACTTTTGGCATCCGTCTTTCCCAGCGGATCCATATCGTGCCACTCAGCAAGTAGAGGTGCTAAAATATTATGGCTAACAAATTTGTTTAAAAGTTCAAACACAACTGATAGCTATGCTTGTTTACATTCTGATATAGTTTGTGTATATCGTTCGGGCTGTTTTGGCGCAAATTACAAATATAAGACAGGTAAGATAATTGCACAAATATGTTTAGTAGTGGGAGTATATCAAAATCACCGCAAGTTTTTAAAAATGAAAATATATCAGTTTTTGGGTGGAAACTCGCTACATAATGCAGCCTTCATATAAGGCATATCGTGCACGTGTACGTTGATATTTTAAATTTGCAAGTATATTGGATGTTGAGGTATAGCTGTATTTAGGGAGAAAATACAAATTATGGCTAGTGCTGACACTGTTTTTCAATGGGGCCCTGTATTACACAAATAAACAAAATACATAAAGCCACGTACGAATTATCAAGTTAAGATACAATAAATAATGATAATGACAAGATAACAAAGGAAAAGGGTAATAATTAATAAAAATAATGACAAAATATACAGCTCCTATTTAAGCAAAATTTTAAAAAATGTTGTATTTGTCAGAAAACGCGCACAAAAGAAAGAAAAAAGGAAAAAAAAACACTTTGCAATGTATAAAAACCATTGCCTATACTATCTACCAAAAGTGTATCTTACCTGCGACCACTATTGCAGGTAGCAGCACAAATACTATGTACACGATATTCATTGTAGCTGTGAAAAGAAAAACAAACAAGAAACTGGTTAACATAAAAGAATGTGTGAAGTCCGAGTATCATTTCAATATTCTGACTCCCTCAATACAGGAGCTGACCTTTCAAGTTTTTTCTACCCAAGGAAACCTTACTATTCCAGATTTGTAGTCAAAGAAATTAAACTTGAGATTTGAGAACTAGAAAAAAGTTTGTTAAACATGCTTTGGAAATATCGCTTGAACGTCGGTCCCTTCCCTGACCAATAGAGATACTTGGGCCTTTTAAACATATTTAAATGCCTATTTTGTGCTCCTTATATTTTTCAAATATTTAAAAAATGGCTTCTTTTAGTCTTTTGCTAAGAAGAACATAATGATTTTTTTTCAAATCTTACCAAAATGTGTGATCTATAGTATTAGTATGTTTGACCTATAACTGACCCCTGGGTTCTTGACTGACTCACTGGAACAGAGTTGTAATTCTGGTGTCATTTCAATATTTTGGCTGTAGGTCTTTAAAATCTTAACTTTCCACTTTTTTGCATCCAAAAATGGCAGTCAGCCAACTTATTTGTCAATTTTATTTTAATGTTTCGCTCGCAGAGGTTCACAAGGTTCCCCCAAGGACGCTTCCATTACACGATTTACACGTGACAAAACCGGTTTCTTTCTTTGTGGGAAGATAATTTGTTTACTTATTTTGCAACATAAAGAAGAAACCAAATTAGTCCTTGTAGCTTTACAGTGGCGTAAAAATTTTGTAAGAAAACATAATCCACTTCAAGGTGGTACGTTGGTGTTGTAATTTTAAATGTTCTGAGTTCGAATTGAAGATGTTCTGAGTTCGAATTGAAGATACTGTGTCGTTGGGATAACTGCTTTGCAATTGATTTTTTTATTGACTCGGTGAAATTGAGTGCCTAGCCTAGGTAAGGGGCGTCCTCTTGGATAGGAAGAAAGAATTTAGGTCCCGTGTTTGAGGAGAGCCACACCTCGAGCACGAAAAATCAATTGCAAACATGAAATTATCCACTATGAATCCCATTCATTAGAGCTTCTGAATCCAGCTGGTATACAAAATAGTCCATAAATTACACCAGTGCGTTTTAAAATACTCTCCTTTTTGTCCGTTAGTAACATGCTTATAGCATGGAGGTACCTCCATGCTTATAGCGAGTCCGTACATACCTATGTAGCGCAAAGCAGCAGGAAACCAGCTCAAACCAACAGAACTTACGTCTGCCTCACAACGACTCACAAAACGAGGGCGTCAAAAGTGATCCGACCACTTCATGTTGACCTCTGACCTCTCATGCTTACTTTAAGGCCTACCTCCTATTTCATGTATGCAATGTTATTGGTAAAGCAGAAAAGACTAAAGATATAAATCTAGACAAGTAAAGCGAAATCAACCGACATATAAACTGTTAACAACTTCTTTTTATTTCTTATATAATGTCACCTTTGTAATAAGAAGGTACGTAAAAAAAACGCATGTTCCGAACCGAAAAGTTTATCATAATTTAGTTAGTATTTTGGTCAGTTTGAAAACGCTACTAAGAAACCCTATTTGACGAATCGAATTAGTAATGCTAAGCAGCAACGTACAACAACAATAAATCAGAGATTTAAAATATTCCTGGCTTGGAAGTATAAATACGTTGTCCTAATAAATTACAACATAGAATGAATTATTACCCATTTGGTTATATGATGATACTTTTTTCTCACTATTATACCGTGGCTCATGTATCATGCATTCCTGGGGACTGAATCCTTAAACCCGGGGCATATACTATGGGCCAGCACCCTGTCAATCAAATTACCCCTCCACACACACACATTTTGGACCAAAACATACAAACCTATTATATCTCATCGCCCTTCAGAACAATACTTCCATCTCGGAAGTAACAACAACAACAACAAAAACGCGACTTTGCACGGACGAAAGTCACGGTATATATAGAGAATATATAGAGAATATATATTGAGAAAAAAATTAGACTAGAGTGACCGACGTACGGATCCTGTCCACTGTAGGACTCTGTATACAGGAGATAGTAGTAACGTTAGTCTTTGAAGTTCGTTCACACATACGCTACCACATACGCAAGTTTTGTCGTCCTATATCCTTTGTCACCGTATCCTCTGACTTCCTATCCTTTTAAAAATGGACAATTTCATTGAAATCCTTGTCATCTGTCAACCATCAAAGACTGCAGAATTATCGTGTGGCTGTTAATTACTTGTATGGCTTCGGTGCCAACGTCTTGACACTGCATAGCACTACACCGAGGAACACCAACATGGCGGCCGCCCGTATTACGCAAGCCCCGTAAAGTCACGTGAAAGCCGAGAATTTCTTCAAGGGGCGATACTCTTTTACGACAGATATGCTTTAAGGGTTCTTTATTTTTCCGTTCTCGAGTTTCCGACCGTGACGGCTCGGAAGTATGTGTTTCTCCAGCTCGGATGACGGAATCTCCACCCCGACAGACATCACAAAGGCCCCGACGAAGCTCGAGACAGAAAGTCCGACGAAGAGTATAAACTGTTTAAAGGGGAGACGTAAAAGAATCTTTCAAAAATAGCCAAAGTAGAGATCGCAAATGTTACGGTTTGCAAGAGTAATCTATTTGTAAAAAAAACATTGAATAGAATGTGATAAACGCTTTATTATCATTCACTTGAATTTACTTTGCCATTTTGCAGATTTATAATCATGCAAAAGAAAAATAGTATCATTAACAATCTTAAATTGTACGTAAAAGTCCTAAAATGTACTTATTTGGAAATAAATTCTAAGAGATAACATGAGCCACCTTGAATGCCGCATTTTGAGTGTCTTGTCTTCCCTATCAATTTCGAAGGCCTTGCATGTGTTTGTTTTGACTCTTAACAATTTTGACTTTGTCTAATCAAAAGTTACTTTTCTTTGTGGGACCCTTTCTACGCTGAAAGACCCAAAACGGTTACTGTAAATTTTCAAATATTCGCAATGTTTTTATTTTTTACCTTTACCCCGAATGTTTTGTATTGTACTACAAACAAAGTTTTTTTTTATTCCCACCGAAAAAATAAATCCTCGCAAAAATGAATGCATTATTATGGGTTCACCACACCACGAAGTGGTGGTGAACCCATATTGCTTTTTTGTTGAAATATTTACTCACTCATGCACAAAAGCATTTTATCTATAACAAAAAACGTTCAAAAGATGCCACCTTTCTTACACCTTCCCCAGAACAATATTGGCTGGTTCTAACACTCACTGTAGCTAGGTGTTGCAGCGGTAGGGTTTAAGAATGCTATCCGGTACTCGTACTGTCACATATAGCTTGTTACACATTCAGTTACTAACAGTTAGTAGAATATTCCTCAATCAGTGACTCTTTTTGACAGGTAGAAACACGTTCCTCCAAATTTTCGATGTCCACTGTACATCTTGCTCACGGAGTGACCTAGTCTCGCGAGAACACGAGAACACGAGACTAGGTTGGGAGCTGCCCAAGTCCTACCTACCCCTACTCCGCAAGGAGGCGGGGGAGGCAAGAAGATCCACACAAGTCTCGACTTAGCCTCGTGTTCTCGCGAGACTAGGTCACACCGTGAGCAAGATGTACAGTGGACATCGACAATTTGGAGGTACGTGTTTCTACCTGTCAAAAAGAGTCACTGATTGAGGAATATTCTACTAACTGAAAATTCTACGTGGCTAATGAGCCTCTTCAGTTACTAACGTTATGGAATATATTGACGGATATACTCACCCATGTACCTCCAGAGTAAAAGATGTGACCTCTGTAGTGGCCCCAAAAGGAGTACAGGATCAGCGGGTGGATGAGGTACGCAACGTAAGACAGGCGGCTTAACGGCTGCCAGAGCTTCCAGGATAGAAACTCCGAGATGATACCTGTGTGGGACAAAATGCAGAGATTATACTAAGCATAATAAGGGGTAGGCATTCATGACCATTTTTTTAAAATTATTTTTAATATTTTTTCAACTTTATTGTTCAAGTACAAATTCAAGTACACAGGTGTACGGTACAACGTATAAAGTTCACGTACACTTTTTAAATATTTCTCAATGAGCATTCAACAGTGAAATAATATCTATTTGACTGGTTTCATATTTAAACTCAGAGATGGCGTTTTTTCCCGACCAGTATCAGCTCATTGATGTATTAAAATCTTACTTCAGAAATGTGGTATGCTAGAATAATATCTTGTATGGTTAACACGAGTGTGTAACCGTATTCAGAAAAGAGGCACTTTTCTACTTCCAAACTTTTCAACCTCCACACTTTTCAACTTCCACACTTATCTACTTCCACACTTATCTACTTCCACACTTTTCTACTTCCACACTTATCAACTTCCACACTTTTCTACTTCCACACTTTTCTACTTCCACACTTATCTACTTCCATACTTTTCTAACTCCACACTTTTCTACTTCCACACTTTTCTACTTCCACACTTATCTACTTCCATACTTTTCTACCTCCACACTTTTCTACTTCCACACTTTTCTACTTCCACACTTTTCTACTTCCACACTTTTCCACTTCCACACTTTTCTACCTCCACACTTTTCTACTTTTACACTTTTCTACTTCCACACTTTTCTACTTTTACACTTTTCTGCTTCCACACTTTTCTACTCCCACACGTTTCTACTTCCACACCTTTCTACTTCTACACTTTTCTACCTCCACACTTTTCTACCTCCACACTTTTCTACTTCCACACGTTTCTACTTTCACACTTTTCTACTTCCACACTTATCTACTTCCACACTTTTCTACCTCCACACTTTTCTACTCTCACACGTTTCTACTTCCACACTTTTCTACTTTCACACTTTTCTACTTCCACACTTATCTACTTCCATACTTTTCTACCTCCACACTTTTCTACTTCCACACTTTTCTACTTCCACACTTTTCTACTTCCACACTTTTCTACCTCCACACTTTTCTACTTTTAGACTTTTCTACTTCCACACTTTTCTACTTTTACACTTTTCTGCTTCCACACTTTTCTACTCCCACACGTTTCTACTTCCACACCTTTCTACTTCCACACTTTTCTACCTCCACACTTTTCTACCTCCACACTTTTCCACTTCCACACTTTTCTACTTCCACACTTTTCTACTTTTACACTTTTCTACTTCCACACTTTTCTACTTTTACACTTTTCTACTTCCACACATTTCTACTCCCACACTTTTCTACTTCCACACTTTTCTACTCCAACACTTTTCTACTTCCACACTTTTCTACTTCCACACTTTTCTACTTCCACACTTTTCTACTTCCACACTTTTCTACTTCCACACTTTTCTACTTCCACACTTTTCTACTTCCGACTATGACATTTATTGTTCACCATGCTGGTTTGTCAAGCATTAATGACGCGACTGGACTTGCACGTACAGATTAACCAACTAATATGGCGGACTATTGGTCACGTGAGTGCCAACATGACATAGTACCCTATAGATGTATTTTTTAGTAAAATTAGAATTTTGGATGTCCATGGCAGGAGTCAAATGATAGTTTTTATACAAGGGTCTGTCAAGAAGCAAGGTAATTTCTTTATTCAATCTTCGAATAGGTGATTTCGAAATGTACTTATTAAATTCTGTTTTGACGACGCCTCAGGGGTGGAGCCTATTTGGCCTATTGCTTAGTGCTCATCATCGCAATGAATCCAACAACATTGTATAGTGTGTCCCATTTCAAGACATTGTCATATAGTGTAGATACACAAAAATAAAGTACCATAAAGTACCATAAATCACCAAATAAGTAAATAATTATTTATAATTTGTATACCAATATGGCACCAAGCAAAGTGAATGTTTTTTTTTAAGTTTGAACAACTGTTACCTCCGTATCCAACGGAACACGCATATATCACCCAGCAGATGGCAGCGGACCACAGAAGCCTTTCAACAGTCGTTCTGACCATCCACGTAGAACCTTCAGGGTTAAAGGCCCTAAATACGCTGGGTGCCCAGACTAGTATACCCACCAATGCTGCGTTAATCGCCCATCCTACTAACATCCACACCTAAGGAGGAAAATAGATTGACAATGATATTCAAGCAGTTATAAGATCAATGAATAGCATCGCTATATGCGTGCTGATAGATTCTGTATAGTGGCGTCGGGTTGCGTAGTGGTAGATCATTCGACTGTGAACCGGGAGAGCCGGGTTCGATCCCGAGTCGTACCCGGGACATGTCTGGACATGCGCCCCGACGTTGTGTCCTTGGCTATGGGAAAGGCACTTTACACGACTTTCCTCACTCCACCCAGGTGTGAATGGGTACCTAACTTCGGTTGGGGAAAGCCGTATGGAGGTCACCTGGTGGCGCCGAATGGCAGTTTCACAAAAACGTGGAACAAATATTTATCATGACATTGTGTATTATGTGTATTATGATGTGTATTATTACCATTTGTATAATCTGATTGTAAACCCTGCATCAATTCAGGCTGCTATTGCACGGGTGATGTTTGGCCAATAAACCATTTATTATTATTATTATTATAGGCCATTTCATGGATGACAGTGCCCTTTGTCTTACACAACCTCAGATTTATCACCAAAAACTGCTCGACTGTCTTCCGAAACTTGTCACTCAGCTTTGTAAAATTAATTGATCAACCACTGAAACGTTTAAAGGTAAGAAAACTAATTTTGTATGAAGATAAAGATATTTGTTCTCCACCTATGCAATTTGTTACGCGATAAATGCCTGTGGCCTCTTACAGGGGTATTGCGGCTGTTTGTGTTTTAACGTTCTTATGTGTAATTCACAATCACCCTCCGTATATAATGTAGTTTGCCATGTCGTATGCTAGTATAGTCTAGATAATTCACGATGTTGTTTTCGATTACACTGTATAGGCTTTTATCGGTGATGACATATTTAAAAGATTATCTATGAAATTATACGAACGTATACGATCTATGGACTAGGACAGAACGATTTGAGTGCCTTGTATCGTTACCTTTGTCCGTCGGATGTTGGGGATTTTACTGCTGATCCTGAAGAGTAGGTAAGCCAGGAGTATACCTATAACGTAAGGACCCATCCTGGCAGGCGTCCAAAAGAAAGGGTTGACGCAGCCTAGCTGTATTCCACTACAACATGCAAAGAAATTAGAAAAAAATGGTAAGAACCGTGTTGTTAAGCACAGGGTTTAAGAGATTCCAATTTGCAACTCTACAACGTGCAAAGAAATAAAAATATGGTAAGAACCGTGTTGTTAAGCAAAGGGTTTAAGAGATGCCAATTTGTTTTATATAGAAATTAAGAATTTACTTTAAAAACTGTAAGTACCCACGGTTTGTGTATTATAATATAAAACGAGCTCAATGGTGTGTAAATACTAACGCAATTCAGACGTTTGTCTGCTATGTTGTATTGAAAATAAAGTTTCAAAGTTTCAGGGTTGTGTACATTATGTACTTATAAGGTGGAGATAATGACAACTATACTATTTTCAAATGCAGAACGTTTCTTGTATATTTAAGTATAGGCTGTCAATGCCTTACGGGCGATTACTCGGTTGCTGTTTCTTTGAACCAACCATATCTATTGATTTCCAATCCTATTATTAATAGCTGCAAGTGACAAAAAAACTTACACAGTATTAAGTGGGTCCTGGTTGCATGCCCAGCTTAAAACAACGAGGAATACATTTATGAAGATTCCATACTTTGGTTTCCTAAAGAACATAAAACGATAAAAATGTCTCATATGTAAACTTCAGCATTTACTCGAGAATAATGTTTTTTAAAATGAAGAAAAACGACTATAGCTGAAATTAGTAAGCCTTAAAGGAAGGATGTTGAGGAATATGTGTATGTTCGCCCTATAAAGGCCGATTACGTATAAACTCTTCTGACGAAGGAAATAAAACCTATAGATCTCCATCTCTCTTCCCCTCTCTCTTGCCCTGATGCGACTTCTGACTTAACATCACAGGTAAAACCTGCGTCATCAAAAGAGTGTCATTTTGATGAGGTTGGTTTTTTTATATGCACGTGAGAGCAGGTGGAAACTCGCTTTGTTTCTAGGCCGTCATTTACAATAGACAAACCCATAACCAACGCTTTGAATAAGTGTTTAACGTTACAGGGCATAACCAACGCTTTGAATAAGTGTTTCGTTACAGGGCATAACCAACGCTTTGAATAACGGTTTCACGTTACAGGGCATAACCAACGCTTTGAATAAGTGTTTGACGTTACAGGGCAGTAAGAGTGTGGAACGACCTTCCACTCGTTTTGCAGTCCACACAGTCCTCTAGGTCCTTGAAGAACAGTCTTTACGAACCGTTCTATCAGTGCAATCGAATTGTTGTCAGAATAACCGTATCGTTCTAACTGTTATTATATCGTATGTTCTTGTCGTTGTGTAGTAACTGTGTTGTGTATTGTATATACATGCATGTGTGAATTCCAGGAAGACTAGCGGTAATGGCAATTTGCATAAAGTCTCAAAGTTTCAAATGTGAACCTACTTGTACAGAAGCAGGATAAGGGCAGGTGCCATGATGTACAGCTGCATGTCTACACCAAGATACCACGATGACCCCGTGCACTAAAAAGGTAACCAGTCATATTAATCAGGCATTATAAAAATGTAATCTTGAAAGTCATTACGAATCAAGCTATTTTTTGCGTTGTTTATACTTTGTGAAGTTTCCTTTTATTGTTGTTATGTATGTTCGAATAAAGCAGTAAGAGCCGTTTATAATTAACTTATTCTTAACCTGTTGTTCTGGTTCCATTAAATTTTGTTTTTTGGAATTTACAGTTTAGTAAATTCCAACAAACAAAATTGAAACTGTTCATTCGTTGACAAAGACTGAAGTTATATAGTTAAAAATTTGGGAAAACCAATTTCTAAAATTTACAGTTTAAACTTTATAACGTCCACATGTACTTTGTTTAGAATAGCCCGTTGGCACCAATGTCCTTAACCCTTATTATTTAAATAAAACAAAATCCAAAAATCCAAAAATCAAATCAGTCAATTTAGCTGCAGAACATCGAGATTTAAGAACAGTACTTTACCTTTCATTGTAAAGTTACTAAATGATAGTTGACATGTTCATTGTGTAAGTCATGGTTGTATTGAATCGTTATAGCTGATTTTATATTGTTTAACATTGTTGTATTGAATCGTTATACATTGTAGCTGATTTTATATTGTTTAAATGTAAACAATAACCACAATTCAGCCGAAGGGCTGCTATGGTATTGTATTTGTATTTGTGTGAAATAAAAATAAACCAGTCATAAATAAAATCCAAAAAAGGTAGATAAAATTATAGCAGTGGCACTGGTTTTATTTTCTTCGTTTTATATGATATTCATCATGTTAAAGGATAATGGTTGTCTGAATGTTACTGCTATTTTACAATTTTAGTATACCATACTAACTTAAAGGAAGGGCATAGGTTGAACGTGGTGAACATGGTTGAACGTGGTTTTCGGGCCAACGGATTATATTTCATCGTTATGTACTTAATTATTAATACTTAGCTTAATAACTATAAGAGCATAATGAAGAAATATCAAACAAGCCACCATGACTTTTTTCTTACCATGCACGTTTATTTTTGCAGTCGTTTACATTCTCTGAATTTTGCTTTAATTGTTGTTATGCATGTGCGGAAAAAAAATTAAAAAAAAACTCTTCAACTTGAAACAGTAGCAAGAGTCGTTTATAAATTTAGTGTTTACCTGTTGTTCTGGTTCCATGAAGTAATTGTTGATGTAGAGCAGGTTTGTCCACCAGTAACTTCGGCAACCTTTGTCAAACGGTAGATAAATCAGCAGGGTTGCAAGGTAAACCGGAGTCAATCTGAAAAAAAACACACACACAAAAAAAAAACAAATGAGATGTTAAATAAAAATAAAAAAAGTTGTGTAATTTTGTAGCAGGTTATTTTGCTGTTCCGCAAAATGTATTTTCGTTTAATGGCATTTACATGTACTATATTGTTTTTATCAATATCTGTAGTTGTTAAGAATAATAGTCAAGTTAATAGTCGATCTCACAGAGGCCTGGTAATACTTTTTTTCATTAACCGTAACTGTACACACATATCGATGAATTTGAGTTCGATATTCCTAGTTATATGTTATTTTACTATATTTTATACTTTATATCAACAACATAATTATACCTAGCATTGATAATAGAAAAAATATCTTAAAATTGGAAATTTGCAAAGGTGCATTCTCATCATAGACTAAATACTAGTAATCTTTGGAAGGTACATTATGCTATGTTTGCTATATTGCAATAGATCTTGTATCTTGTACAATTGTTGCGCCTTCAAGTTAAATGATATATATTATAAAAAAAACGTCTGACAAGGGTACAGAATGTATTGATGGGGCCAATGGGTACAGAATGTATTGATGAATTGTATAAAACCATGTGCTAACATCAAGTTCTACTTTTACCAATGTACGGTTTCATATCTATTCAAAACTAACAACGTAATGTGGCATTGACAGTACATTAAATGCATGAACATTTAAGAGAAGCATGACAACAACCATTCTAATTTGTCATGGTAGAGACTCCGATATGATAAAATCGCCGATTCTGCCGGCAGTGAGCATGAGGTTTGTTCACATGACTTAGTATTGCCAAACATCTCCTAAAAGTTGAATATTTAGTTACGTTCGACTAGTTTTAGCTTGTCATTGATTCAGAACTGAAATATATACATGTATTGTAATGCTACACGTGTATGACAATGAACATGAATTACAGATTCCACCAATAGTTTAGTTCAGTTTTTTTTAGTTCAGTTTTTTATTTCGCACTTTAACCCTACCTAGACCGGGGGGGGGGGCTAAAAGTGCCCGCGGCAACTTTGATGTCACCTAGCGTCTGAACGGCTAGCCGTAGAATGGCCAAACTTGGTGACTTTTCCTAGAATATTGTTGGCAACAATTCTATATCATTGGAATAAGATAATAATTTTTTGTGTTGCCATGGCAACGGGTTTCTGACAGGCATTTTTTGCTAAATTTAGTACGTTTTGTTTCAACAATAGAATCTTATGGGTTCTATGTCAAGTTACTCATGGTTTCTAATATTGATAACATCCCATATAATTTTATGTAAATTTTATCATTAAATATGCATAATTTATGCTAATTTGATGACGTCATTGGCCAAAATCCAAGATGGCGGACCATATCATTAGAACAGGTATATACAGGTTATTTTCCTTAAAATTTCATCAATACTTCCATTTCTTTTTCCAAAAAAGGTTTAAATGAAGGTCTTTAGTATGTTAACAATGTATTTTAGGCTTTATCATGAAAAAAAACTTGTTTTGAAAATTCAAGATTGATGATCCAAGATGGCGGATATCTTAAATATGCATGACGTCATTTTATGACGTCACCGGTGTTGCTATAGGCAACATAAGACTTAGTACACCATAATATTCTGTCATAAACACTTTTGGTACAGTTATGGTTCCGGGTCGGAGTTTAATTCTGACCAGGGTTCCAAATAGTGCGCAGTAAATCGCCGGATCTGCGAGGTTGTCACGCTAGGTTTGGCTCCCCATAGCTCGGCGATCGCTGTAGATTTTCAACTAGGTTTTGAATTGATCAAAAAGCCTTGGGATTGTAGTGTTTTTCGGCGCGGTGAAGTTGGACGGCCAGCGAAGCGTTTTTGGTATCAGTCCGCGAGCAAGGGTGATGCGGTTTGTCGCCTGATGACCCAAATAGCTGCGTTCTATGTGGAATTTCTAGGGGTTCGCGTCACCGGATTTTGCGAAAAACTTATCGCAACAACCTATATTTTTTTTCTGTTTTTCAGAAACAGGAAGTAGTAAGCTATTTCAGCATATAAGCCGTTAGCCTGGGAAAATTCGTTTTTTCCAAGCAGGTCCGTTGAAAAAACTGCAAAAAAACTACATTTTTCGTATCCAAA